CTGAACATTGACTTGTTTGTTTGAATGTTTTCATGGTATACACTTGGTAGTATAACAATTTCAGAAAAGCACAGCCTATGGTGGTGCTGCTGCAGCTGCTGCCTTACTGCTGCATGCTACTACTGATGCTGCCACTCTTGCTGCTAGAACTCTTACTGCTCTTCCTGCTGCACCCAACTGCTCTGTGTGCTGCAGCTGCTGCTGCCGCTGCTGCTGCTGGTGGTTCACCTGCTACTCCTCGTCTTCGTCTGACTCACTTCCGCTGCTGCTGCACTCCTCACCCTCAGCTGCATACCAGAAATCCTCATCGACCTCTCCTCCACCAAACCCCCCTCCTCTCCCCTCCTCGTACCCCTCCTCCAGCTCCTCTTCCACCTCCTCCTCTGGCTCCTCATCCAACTCCTCCCCTGGCCCCTCCACCACCTTTTCTTTCCCCTTCAAGCTCTTCACCTGACCTCGGGGGTGGATGCGGGTGGAGAACTGCTTCCGCTTCTTCCCTCGAAACACCTTCACCGCCTCCTCCCAATCGGGCTCGTAGTCGAGCAACGCCATGCTCATGAGGTTTTCGAGCGTGGCGTTTCCTAGGCTGCCTCGGCACCAACTCTTGATGATGTTCTGCCGACTGAAGCCGCGCTCACACTCCACTGTAGACAGTGGCAGCACTGCGACCGCGACCCACAGTCGGCCCAGGTTCGGGAAGGCCTTTGTCCAGTCATCCGACTTCAGCATCGCCGCCAGCCCCTCGTAGAACTTCCGCTCCCCCACGGGAGCGTCTTTTAGCAGGGAGATCAGAGTCTGCAGCTCCCTGGTTGCCGCCCTCTTGTTAACACCTGCACAGAATCGGAGGGCGCAAGGGGAGGAGAACGAGTGGTATAGATGCAGGCCGTTAGTATCGGGATAAGGATGACATGCAGGCAAGATGCATGGTTACAGCTGGGTTCATGCACGGTTAGCAACAGCTTGCCTGGCAGAACCTCCCGACGCCCGGATGCGCAGAGGTCGAACAAGCTCTGCAGCCAGTCCATGCACTGGCTGTTCCGCTCCTTCCTCCCTGGCGGCCATGCTTCCGGGGTGAAGAGCCTGCACCTGTTGAGCTTCTCCAGGTCGCCCAGCCGCTCAACAATGTTCTGCTCGGTCGCCTTGGCGAATCTCATGCAGATGCTGCTGCACTCGTCGTGGTCCTCACCAGGGCACTCGTCGTGCATGTCAAACTTGTGCACGATTGATGTGCCGTCGGACTTGCATCCCTCAATGGTGACGGCGCGGCTGCTGCGGTGCGCTTCGATGAATGCGGTGAGGAGCGGAGAGTTGCCGCCCCCAAAGTTGCTGCCGCACTCGACGTACCGCTGGTTGATGTAGACGACGGTCCTCCGAATAAGGCCCTGGACGACCGTCAACTCGACCTGTGGTAGGAGAGGGCTTGGGCAGCTATTTCAGGGAGACACACGATTAGACAAACACAATAAGACCATGCAAGGAACCAACCTGGCGGGCTTGGAATTTTCTGTTGAGGCTGTTCAGTAAGCCAAGCATGTCAGCCAGGAAGTAGAGGAAAAGGTGAAACTTGTAGCTTTTTACGATGTTGTACATCTCCTGGTCATACTCAAGAAGTAGAATGACCACAGCTGGTAGCACGTCGACGAGGCGGGCGATCGCCTCACCTCGAGATAGCCAGCGTATGTTGAAAATACTCTGCATCTCGAGGTTCGTCTCGGTGAAGACGTCTTGGAGGTTTTTGAAGCGCGCGTGCCAGTTTCCAGAGCGACCCAGCAACTCAGCAACGGTCCGGATGAGCTTGTCGACCACTGCTAGCTCTGGAACGGCGGTTGCAGCATCCTTCGCAGCGAGGGCCTCCCTGCGTACACAGCAGAAACAGCAGAAGCATCAGCGTTGTGATCAAACAGTAGCTGGAGAGGCACAGCGAGTACAGACACCAGAGTCGTCAGAAGTCATGGTCGGGTAATGGGAAGTGAGAGGCAAACACATGCAGCGTGGCTCACCTGTGAGCTATGCAGTGGCAGGACACCAGCCACGGTGACATGGCACGCATGCGAGTGACGAGGCCGGTGTTGGAGCCCATCATGATAGCAGCGCCATCCGTGCTGATGCCGGCAAACTTGTCGAGGTGCACGCCAATCTTGGTTAGATGTTCCTGAATGAGAGCATGAATAGATGCTGCATCGCACTGTTCCAGTGTTAGCAAGGCGTTGAACTCAGTCACAACATGCCCATCACGCAGAAATGTTACAAACAGAATCAAGTGTTTCCCTCGAGTGCGGTCAGTCGACTCGTCGCAACTCAGCCCAATGAAGGGACTTGCGTGAATGTGGCGTAGCTGAGAAGCATGAAGCCAGTTTGACAGAGACGGCATCAGTTGCGCAAAGCCATACCTGCATGGGGTAGAGCTCACCACGTGAGACACGCAATTCGTAGGCATAAGAGAGGAGCGGGAAAGAACATTGACGTCCTAAACTCACGAAGTGTAGTAGGTTCCATAGCTTTTTTTCGGAAAGCCGGGGCACTTCCGCTTCGCTAGGAAGCGGACGAGCTTCACCCAAGTGTTGATCGGCGCGTCGCACTGGCAGATGAAATGCAGGACCCACAGCAGCGCGATGAGTCGTCCCTTCTCGAGATCTTGGGCCTGTGGGAAGTCTGATATCTTCTTCTGCTTCAGAGCGTCTTCCATGGCCTTCCTCTTCGCCTTGATGCATGCCTTGTGCCGTGATGACCGGCCATGCCTCTTCATTGCCTGTGTCTGCACGTCAACTGCACCCTCCCCATGTCGGCCATATTTGGTGCCCAGGACGCCATGATCTGTACACACACTACATCGCAGGGATGGAAGGCCATTTTTAGTACGACACAGGAGCAACCAAGGAAACCGCTCCTGCCAGTCTGACTTGAAATTTTGCAGAGCTTGAAGATACAACAAGTCAGCAGCCTCTCCAAATTCCTCATAAGCGGTGGCTGACGACTGGATGCGCGACTCCAGTGGTGTAGCAGTAGAAGGGCCAGCCACTGGAGTCGCACTCGTTGGCGTAGTTGACGCAGCACCGCCTGCCGACTGCTCGGCATGCCGTATCGTCGTTGCCGGAGAGGCCGCATCCACCGGTGGAGCATGCGACGGCTTGTGCCTCCGTGATTGAACGGTGGCGCGAGCTGTGGCGAACGTGATGGTGGCAGGATGATTTTTGACGGTCGTCGGAAGCCGAAACGACAGCAACGCTTGACGGTACGTTCGTTTCGGGGGAGAATTAGGCGGACCGCGATCTGCTCCACTACCGCCATCACCGGCCGCTCCGACCGCCTGCCCTGCGTCACCTTCTGGGCTGTGAGGGTGGGGCGACACACGGCCAGCATCACCACCCGGGCTGCGTTGGATCGGGGAGAATCGTGGAGCGTCATGAGCCGGAGAGCGGGGCAGCGGAGACGAGCCAGCGTCCCCACGCGCAGGGCTGCGCACAAGCGTGGACCCACGCGCAGCCTCGGCAGAGGGGATGCAAATGCACGGAGAGGAGACTGAAGCCACCACCGGCGGGCTGTATATGCGAGGAGAAGAGCGCGCAGACTCTCGTGCAGGACTGCGCACGACGGGTGACGTGCGGCCAGTGTTAATCGCGGGCCTCTAAGGCGTAGTAGACGCAACAGCAAATCTACGCTGAGGACTGCTAGGCAGGGGAGGGAAAGGGTCGATACGGGTATCAGCGATACTCCACACGGCGCCCTGCCTTGCAGGACGCACAAGAACATCCAGCGCTGACTGTGTTACAGGCAGGGCACTGGCTTGCCCTGCGGCCTCCTTGCTGCTGCGCCGTTTTGAGCCTTGCACCTGCCATCCCTCATCGTCGGTCATGGCGTGAGATGGTGAGCGAGAGACGGTCGAGCAGGTGGTGCAGAGAGACGACACAGAGCAGCTAGCGAAGGTGGGGCGAAAAAACTGAATGAGCTACAAGCTTTTTGCTACGTTTGCCTGCACCGCATGAAAGCGATGAACCAGGTGGAGCATGCTCGGCTGGGACGAGGAGGGGTTGAGTGGTGGTCGCACCACGCGATACGGTGTGGCAGCGTGCATGCCAGCTTGATCAAAATACAGGTGCATCGTCGTCGGCCTGGCAGGTAGCGGGTGCTCAGTAGTAACACGACAGGACCCCCGATTGGTTGGTAAACCCCTGACTTCGCCCTAGACCAATCCCGCTCCTAACAGCTGTTCCAGCACACCTCTGCTCCACGAAGCTGCTTGTAATTTTGACGGAGGACCAATCACCAGCCTCCTCTCACGTGCACTTTGACGAGGGATGTGATTTTGGTAAAGGACCAATCACGCCCCTCACACGTGCTCCATAACACACCCCATTCCAGCCGTGATTGTCGGGGGGGGGGGAACCGAAAAGACTCTGTTTCAGGCCGAAAATCCATTAAGGCTGATAATTCAGGGTGACCAAAACAAGAACATACTAAAATTCAGGCCTGCTCAAATGAGAACCCCTAAAATTCAGGCCAAGGGAAATCAAAAGCTGAAAAAACAGGACGACCCTTAAAAAACACCCTGCTATACAGCATTTCATGGCATTTTGTCCTGACTTCTGAAGCCCTGCTTCTAATCCTACCCTGAGGCCTCGTCTTGAGTTGAACCCTTGTACTGGTAGTATGCGTGAACAAGTGATTGATTATAGCAAAGGGATACAAGGTTAAATAAAAGTACAAGAGATATATGAAGAGTCTAACTGTTTATGCACTTCGAGGGGTACATTACATTCCCTTTTACAACTCGATAACGCGACTCGGGTAACCACTCGTACTGTAATATCGGGACGGTTATTTGTCCTTGCTGTTGTTGGGCTGATAAATGTCCTTAGGATCTTTCAGAGACAAAGTCCCAGTTGAAGAATGAGACTTGAGTAGTGCAGCGGAAGTTGAGTAGTAAAACCCTTGTACTAGTATATGAGAACAAGTGATTGATTAAAGAAACAAGCATACAGCAATATATAGAAAATAAGAAAGCAGTTGTAGAATACAGTTGCAGGAGCGATTATCGAGTCGCACAGCGACTCGATTGTCGCTTCGGTTACCATCCGCGCTGTTGTAACGGTCAGTCGCAACCTCCAGTTGCGACCCTTCGAGTCCCTTAGCGTTCTTTATCCGCCCCTTCGTGTAACCTCCGTTGACTCGCGTACCCGTTGCGATCTTCCTCGAGTGTAGTGTTACACTTCAGAAACGCTCAAGTCCTTTGAGATATTTCCAACAGCTGTCAAGCTGACTTGACTCTTGCAATTCTGACTGTTGGGTTGCACGGTCAACGGTTTGCGACCGTTCCCCTTTCGTAACCTCAGCGAGGTGTCGTCAACCTGCGTCAACAACCAGTGGTACTGTAGCAGGGCTTGACTCGGTGATCCTCTTTGTTGCAGTCTTCACGTATTCGCGCACCTACGCGAGACTCCGGAAATGTCTGCTTTTATCATTTCCAACACTTCTGTCGAGTGATTACAGTACCAGCAGTAGCGTAGGACCTGTTCACCATTCCCCGTCGTTCATTGCAATAAACGGACAGAACAAGCGTCCAGTAGTGGAGCGAAGCTCATTCATCAATCTACTCCAATTGGACCCAAGAGTCCCGATGAAGTAATCGCTCTCAGCAGATATAAGTACACTCGCAAAGCTTACAGCCACGGATTGCGTGTCATCATAGTGCCGCATGTCCTTGTTGGATCCATCTTGACGAGAGTTCTTGGAGTAGATAAATATCCACTCTTTGTACTTGGCAATGCCATCAATCACTGCCTGCAAATGGGTTGAAAGAAAATGCAGTCACATAGCATCAGCATCACGAAGTCGGCATGTCAGATCACACATACAAACCCCTCACATGCTGCCCCTCACCCACATCCATACCTGTGACTCGGTGTTGAGCCACACGTGCGTGAGGTCCGGAGCAGCGAGCCTGAGTCGGTTGAGGTAGAAGATGTACGAGCTGAGCGGCATCAGCTGCATCTCCTCCACCTTGTCACTCTGCCTCACATGCAGACTCACAATCGGCCGGATCACATATGGCTCCCCTCCCACCCTCTCGTATAACTCCCGCAGATACCCCATCCACTTCTCACCCTCCTCGCCACACTCGTCCCCGCTGCACGCCCCATACACCCAGGGGAACAGCCCATCGGCGTGCTTGAACGATCCTTGAGTGAACGGCAAAGTGGCGGCAGCAAGTTGCGAAGACATCTTGATGTTGCTGGGGGCGGCTTTTCCTGCTGTGTCTCCCACCTTCTCCCAGAGCATTTCTGCAAGCGTGCTGTTCAAAAGGGCAAGGCGGGCTGCAATGCGGTGGCCATAGGAGGAGTGGCGCACGCGGTTGATGACGTGGCAGAGGTAGGCAGAGGGCCAGCGCAGCATGAAGCGCACTGCCTGAGCCCGCCACCAGCGGACCTGGGTGCGGGGGAGAGCAGGGGAGAGGGGGAGAAGTAGGAGACAATGGCGCTGTTGCACTTGAAACCATCTTCTCAATCGGCAGTGTTTGAGTAGTAGCAGATACAACTCTCGGTCTCATGGGTGGGAACCAGCTTAGTAAGGCACAACTACACCATCCTGCTTCACTCAGTACTGCAGAATATCGAGAATATTCAGTGGGCCCAACCTGTTCACGCGCTTACCTTGCAAGAACCCAGAATGTACCTGCCATCACCAGCTCGCCCTACCATATAATTCCACCACCTGCATCTTGTGCCGCCACCTGCATCTTGTGCCACAACCTGCATCTTGTGCCACTACCTGCATCATGTTCCACTACCTGCATCTTGTTCCACTACCTGCATCTTGTTCTTGTGTGACTCTGTGTGGGGAGGATCCCACACGGTGTCCGGCTGACCCAAGTGTGGCGCACCCCACCGCCTGCCAAGGGAATGCAAGGAGGCACGGGGTGAGAAGAGGTGACAGGGGGGAGAATGAGTGTGAGAGCTCCATCCCCCAGCTCCCTCGAGCTGAGGAGCGGGTATGCCGCACCTTCGACCACCTCCAGCGCGGAAGCCATCCTCAATGATCCCCGGCACCTCAAATCTGCTTTGGACAAGGGCCACGCCATCTGGCTCATCAGCCTGAAACGGGAGGTACCACTTATCCGGACCTCGTCTTCTCCCACAGCCAGTTCGGGACTCCCCCGCATGAATTGCCTTCACTGTGCGTGCCTGCGCCAAACTCGTACCTGACTGCAGCCTACCTGACGATATTCTCCGCTGCACCATGGGTCCGGACCAAGGTTAAAAGATCGGTTTCCAGAAAATACGGTCCGTATTAATCGACGGTTTTTTCCGGGGGTTTTGGGGAAAAAAAAAGCTGTTTTTTTTAATCGAGCATCTTTTCATTTTTTGGTAGGCAGCCTAGTCGTTCGCCAGATCCGCGCAATTAGTCTGCCCAAATGCGAGATCCGCGCATTTTGACGAGCGAAATGCCAGATCTGCGTAATTCAGCTGATGAAACGTCAGATCCGTGCATTTCGTCCGCCAAAAACGCAAGATCTGGCACATTTTGGCGGGAAAAAAAATCAGATCAATGCATTTCGGCGGGCGAAATGCCAGATCCGCGCATTTCATCAGATTTGTTTGTACTTTTTTTTTTTAATCGGCCGTATTTTTTAACTAACCCCAAAAGCACAATTTCCACTGTTTTTTTCGTATTAAACGGCCGTTTAATTCGATACCGTTTTATACGGGGATTTTTTTTTTATTTTTTTTTTTTACATTTTACTTTTTAACCTTGGTCCGGACCGCACGCGCACGCACATCAAGCTCGCTTTCGTGGTTGCCGATATGCCCGGGGAGGCGCAACTGGTCGTCTACATCGAGAACACCATGTATTCATCCCCCCACGAGCCCCAAAAAGCGGACGCCATCATCCGGCACCTGGATTCAGGAGCACCTGGATCACAGATGTCACCATTACGGATCCAGTCCTGCAAAACCATGATCCGGAAGCGCGCAAGGCCTCGGGCTGGGCGGCACGCGAAGCGCAAGCCCATAACGTGAGTAACTACTATCGTCACACAGGGCTTTCACGCCATCGCGGCTGAGACCCACGGGGCTCACGCACCCTGCATTTGGCATTCCTTGGCATCGTCATTCAAGGAATTGCTTCAGGGTCAACCTCTTGGCTAGAAAATCCAGGAAGGTGGTTTTCCACTTCCGGCAGCGGGTTCTTGGCCACTGCACTAAACGCTGGAGGGGGTGTAGAGGGGAGCAGTAGCTATGGCTGTGTTGCTTGCCTGTTTGCCGCCCTACTATACCTGCCATGCTGTACTCTCCTTGCCACTTAATAGATGGACCACTCAAGAGAGAGAGAGAGGTCCACGGGGGAAGTCCAAGTAGGCTAGCTGGGGGAGGGAGAGAGGTTTTAGGTTGCATGCCCGCTCCTGACCCACTTGCCTAGCTCTGTACACAGGTTCCTAATGAATACAAAGGACCGCTTGAGAGAATGGGAAAATATTAAGGATCGTTTGAGAATGGGAGGTCTACTTGAGAAAGAGGAAATGCTTGGGAAGAGGGGAAATAGGGAGGAAGAGGGAACGGGAGAGGGGAGATGGGATGGGAGGGAGGCAGCATGGGGGAATGGAAGATGAGGGCGATTTGGGGGACAGGCAGGAGGAAATGATAGAGGCAAAAGGGAGAGAGAGGGAGACGTGAGGGGCTGCATGGACTTTAGGATGCAAGGGGAGGATGGAGCGGCTGAGATGAGAGCGAACAAGAATGTGCGGCAGCATTACCCTCTGCGAGATGACCCCACACTCCAAGCTGAGGTTCCAAACCCACAACGTGAATATCTAGTCGTGGGTTGACTTCACAATAACCCTGAGTTCCAAACTGGCAGAGCGCTCCATGTTTTGAACCACCAACGTGGCACACACAACAGAACGCACTACACAGTAATCATGCCGTCAGCATCAGGCTGCATTCGACACGGGTCAATCGGGGATAACTGAATGGCATGTCACCTCCGCGCCATCCACTAATGCAAGCCAGTGGGTTGTCTTGTAAGCTGTAACCACATCCCATCTCACACCATGTAGCATTGACCCACCAATGTGTGCAGCCACCACAGAAGAGCTCCTCAGCCGACCCTTACAACCCCCCCTTTCCATGTGGCATTACCTTCCATCTCGAGGTCCCTGTACGACATGCATGCAGTGCACAACGCACTCACCTCTTGACTCCCACAACCTCCCCCCCCCCCACCCATGCATCCCCCCCTTACCGCACGCAACCCACCATGCGGCGCTAGCCTCCATGTCGAGCTCCATGTACGGCATGCTTGCAAAGCACACCACTGTCTCTGCTGACGCTGCCACCTCCCCCACATTCTGCCCCACGCACTCCACCGCCTTGCTCTCCATTGCTCGCCGCACCACCTGCTGGCAGCTCTCCGCTACGAAGGGGAAGAAGAAGCACTCCCACTCGTTGTACTTCCCCGTGGCTGCAAGACAACGCACGCAACCAGCACGAACAGGAGAGGGCGTGTGGGGAGGGAAAGGGAGGGGGATTGGGGGATGGGTGACTTGGTCAGGTTGGCGGAGGAGTGCAGTAGGGAGGAGGATAGGATGGGTTGGGACGCGAAGGGACAGGATAGAGAAAGAGGCTGCTTGTCCGTCCGTTGCTCTCCTTGGCCCGCCGCATGGGAGGAAGAAGCACTCCCACACAGGTAGACCCAGGTCAACTCAGGTAAATCAGGTCAGCTCACACACCACCACCCCCAACCCTTCCACCCAGGCTCTTCCGCTCTCTCATATGTCCCCGGCATCACCACGAGTGAGCTGCTATGCTGCACGGCATTGCTCAGGACCACACCCATCCATCCCATCCCATCGCACCTCACCGCAGGTAAGCCCAGACCCCAACAACACTGCTCACCATTACACCCCGGCTCTTGCGCTCTTCCAAACGACCCCGGCACCGCCACCAGCGTTCGGTTGTGCTGCATGGCGATGCTCAGAAACGCGCTCATGATGTGCAACTGGGACCCCACGCCGTGGTAAACCTGCCACGGCCAGTGCACAACCAGCAGCCTCCTCCCAGCGCAGTCCCCATCCACAAGAAACTGGTGCTCCCAGAGGTCCCTCTGGGCCACGCGTGTCATCGCCAGGCTGTCGTCGTCCGCACCCCGTACCTGCTCGTTTTCAGCCAGTTTGGGGGAGGTTTGCAAGGGGGGGAGGGGAAGGGGGGTTGGAAGGGGGGGGGTTGGGTAGGGGGGGAGAGGGGGAGGGGATGGGGGGGAGGGATTGGGAGGAGGAAAGAGAGGAAAGGCGGGGAGGGGAAACAGATGCTTTGAGGACCAGTGGTGACGGTGCTGTCCTGGACTGCGTCCGGGGGCGCGAATGAGATGGCCGGCATGGCAGGAAGGTGAGATGCGCTAGAATAGGAATGACGCCTCCGATTAGCGCGGCTTTGAGATTTCTCAAGGCGGAGGTTAGGAGGGAAATGAAAGAGTAGCGCTCCTGAAATTTCTCAAAGAGCTCTACCTTGCAAAGTTTGTGGCTTTTGAGTCGACTCAAAAGCAGGAGTCACAAAGTAGCTCTCCATTGCAAAACGGGGGGACGTGACGAGGTGGAGGATCAGTGGGAGAGGACGAGCTGGCGGTGGGACAGGAGGGCGGGGTTGGGCGGTGGGGTACTACGGAGCAGTGAAGGGGCGTGAATGGAAACCAGCGGGAAATCGCTGCTCGCTCACCCACGCTGCTCGCTCACCCACGTTGCTCGCTCACCCACGCTGCTCGCTCACCCACGCTGCTCGCTCACCCACGCTGCTCGCTCACCCACGCTGCTTGCTCACCCACGCTGCTTGCTCATCCACGCCGCTTGCTCACCCACGCCGCTTGCTCACCCACGCTGCTCGCTCACCCACGCTGCTCGCTCACCCACGCTGCTCGCTCACCCACGCTGCTCGCTCACCCACGCTGCTTGCTCACCCACGCTGCTTGCTCATCCACGCCGCTTGCTCACCCACGCCGCTTGCTCACCCACGCTGCTCGCTCACCCACGCTGCTCGCTCACCCACGCTGCTCGCTCACCCACGCTGCTCGCTCACCCACGCTGCTTGCTCACCCACGCTGCTTGCTCATCCACGCCGCTTGCTCACCCACGCCGCTTGCTCACCCACGCTGCTCGCTCACCCACGCTGCTCGCTCACCCACGCTGCTCGCTCACCCACGCTGCTCGCTCACCCACGCTGCTTGCTCACCCACGCTGCTTGCTCATCCACGCCGCTTGCTCACCCACGCCGCTTGCTCACCCACGCTGCTCGCTCACCCACGCTGCTCGCTCACCCACGCTGCTCGCTCACCCACGCTGCTTGCTCACCCACGCTGCTTGCTCATCCACGCCGCTTGCTCACCCACGCTGCTCGCTCACCCACGCTGCTCGCTCACACATTCTCTGAGCTCACCCACGGAGGTTGCGGGTTGCATCCGCAGCAGTGAGGCGGGCGGGCCCATTCCGGCGACTCCCCATTCGCCCCGCGTTGCTCCGCGGCCTGGCGGAAGGCTGTGCGCGCCACACACTCCTCCAGGTGGGGCGCGGGGGGCACGTTGGGTGGAAGGGAGACGTTGGCGGGGGGGAGGAGGCTGTCAGCGTGCAAACCGTAGATCGACTCCCATACCTGGGAGATAGGGAGGAGAGGGGGGAAGGGAGGACGGGTTGATAGAGAATAGGGACGGGAGGAGAAGGCGGTGGGAGAGGTGGGACTGGGGGATGGAGTGAGAAATACTACAGAAAGAATATGAAACTCACGAAGTAGTATCAGGCGAGTAAATAAAGGTGCTAGTAGCACGCTCCACGGTAACCAATAACGAACGGGTGGCATTTGATCGGGCTCCGAAATCCCGCGCGAGCGCCTGCTGGGCACACGTAGTACCCAAATTTCGGGACCCGATAAGCGCGGTAGGTACTAACAGCTACGAAGTACCTACGCAACCTATGGAGTAGCCATTATGCCGTACGAATAACTATAACTATCATGCAGACGAAAGCCCTATATTTAGTAGCTCGCTGGCACAGCTACTATTATGGAGAAACCAGCAACGGTCAGGGCAACGGACGCTGAGGAAACGACGCGGCGAGCGGATGGAGGAGGAGGGATTGGTGGAACTGACTCGATATAGTGACATGATGTGGTCGAAGCTGGACTCCCCCCTGAGGGAGTGGATTCTCGGATAGATTGGATCCGACAGGCATTGCGTCGGCAGGTGAAGGGCAAAGATCAAAGCAAGGACCGCGCAGAAAATCGCGAATCTCCATGATCGTCGTAACATGACGCTGAACAATGTCGGCGGAAGGTGCGGGTAGTAGCGAGTGATCGTCCAGATTGAGTTTGGAAAGAGGAAATTGATCTTTCAGAGCTGTCTCGGGGAACGCGGAGGAAATCTCAGGGCGTGGATCCAACACGCGTTGGAAACAGGTTTTGGTGCGTTGCAACCAGGCATTGGGGTGGTAACTCTACATATTGCTCTGGATAACCTAGTTGGCCAACCAATCCAGACAAGTTGGCCACCCTTTCCAACATAGCTTGGTTGTTTCCAACCAATCTGCTTATACTTCTATAACGGGGTTGCCACCGAGCTCTACCACGAAATTCAAATCGCAGTACCCAAATGTGGCCACCTGACGAGCCGCACGCATTTTGCCCGCCTTGCTATTTCATGCCTAGATCTGGGCGCTTCGCGTCAATTACGAACCACATGTCGCAGCTCTGCCAAGCCACGACCGTGTGCTCTAGGCTAGCTATATCCATGCTCCATGTTGTTTTGATGTTGCCTCTGTTGTATTGTTTTCCTCGTTCTGAATCCTTCTACACACGCTCTTTGCGTTTCATTACACGTGGCCATCAGAGCCAATGATCCACAGCCTTGCGCTCTAGTTCCGTTGAAATACCGACACTTAGGGAGGCTGAGGCCCTGTGCTTACTGCATATCTGCTCTCTTGGTAATATAAATTGATAATTACCTACAGCCACGACTGTGTTCGCAGCTCCAGCGTGCCGAAAGCCGCCCAAAACTTTCTGCGAAATAGTGGATTCGTCGTCGTCTAACATGACTCATGAAGAAATGGCGGCAGCACTCGAAGAAGCCCGTCTCACTCACGATTTGTATCTGTTAGATTGTCGAGAGAATTGTGACTAAGGGAAAATAACGAGGATTACATGGGTATGACTGTACCCTCTAAGAACTGACCTAACTAAGGCTATACTATAACAAATATAAACTAGGTAGCCTATATAATTATATTTATTGACACACCCCCTAGCCGAGATAGTACCAGTTCATAACAAAGAAAAGTACACCCGGACAGCAATACTAGTCTGACCTTTGGTAAGTGTAATCGGACAACTCAAGGCAGCACTAACTAGTCTGGCCATTGAGACAAGAGGCCGCAAGGCCAATCAGCAAGTTTAGCAAGACAAGCAGATATAGAACAACAAGTCTAAGCAAGTATAGTATGACTCAGGATACAAGAAGCTACTGAGGCTAGACCAAGCTTAGTACAGAACCGCTGATGGTCACGAGGCGCAAGTGCCTTGGTGAAGATATAAGCGGTGTTGGCCTCTGAGGCCAACTGTACTATACGAACCTGACCGCGCTGCTGCAACTCACACAGCAGGTAGTACCGCAACTGGATATGCTTCGATCTGCCCTCAAGTCGAGCCTCCTGACACAAGAGGATCATGGCCCTGTTGTCAGCAAACAGGATCGGGGCAGACCTAGGCTGCTCACCTAAATCAGTGAGCAAGAACGACAGCCAGCGGAGCTCCTGAGCAGCCATGGCCCCAGCGTAGATCTTTGCCCCACAACTAGATTGAGCTACAGACGACGACCTAGTGGACCTCCATGAGACTGCACAAGCATTAAGACTAAAGCAGTAGCCCTGAGACGACCTGTGCGTCTCCAAGTCGTCGGCCCACGACGCGTCTGTGTGTCTAATGAGCACCACTGGCTCCCGTCCTCCTAGCACAAGCCCCAGTTCCGATGTGCTCGCCAGATACCGCAGTACCCTCTTAGCAGCCGACCAGTGGATTGGTCGGTGCCTGCCTGTCGCGAAAAATTGAGCTAGGAGACTAATTGGGTACGCTAGATCTGGTCGAGTACAGGCCATCAAGTAAATGAGGCACCCCTCCAGCATTGCGTATGGACCACTAGTCTCGACAGGCTCTGCCGGAACAGAAGCAAAGAGCTTGTGATCCACAGCGAGAGATCTCAAAGCCCAGATAGCACCTCAGCTCCCCTAAGTCTATACAGGTATGTCTCATAAGCAACTCGGCCTTCACTGAGGCCAGTGCGAGTCTGTTAGGAGTAGCAAAGATAAGATCGTCTACGTACACTAGGATGTAGAACGATGTCTGACCCATGTGAACAAAGAAAGAGGGGTCAGCACAGGACCGAAAGAACTGCAGCTCAGCAAGAATGGTGCAAAGCGTGTCGTGCCATTCACGGGGTGCCTGACGTGTTGATCCTGCGAAGGTTGCAGAAGTGTACGGATGCGGCATATCAACGAAGTCGGCGGACACGAGCCCTGAAGAAAGGACCATCAACGAAGATCAGATTTGTCGACAAGGCGAGGTTCTGCAGGAAGTGGCAGAAGAGCAGTTTTCGTTGGTGGCAGAAAAGCGGTTCTGTCGGAATGGCAGAACAGGATCGCTTTTTCTGCATATGGCTTCTACGGACTTCTGTGGTTTTGTAGAAGCGGTCTCAGCAGAATTGAGAGTGTACAAGACCCTCTGCGGAATTGGCACCAGGGGTCATTCGCAGAAGGGATATCCTCTGCAGAAGTATCGCGCAGAAGACACTTCTGCGGGCGACCCTTTCGGAAGAAGCGACTCTCGGAAATGCGTTCCAATAGGACCTCGGGAAGAGTAGTGCAAGCACCTGTTCGCGCAGAATTGTGTTCTGCCGAAGTTCGGCAGAAAAAGGCAATTCGGCTATCTCTTCTGTGGACGACCCCCTCGACAAAAACAAAATTCGGCAGAAGTGCAGCAGAGAGTCATCTCGGACTTCACTTCTGCGAGCGACCCTTCGACAGAAAAATGAGGACTTATTTTTTTCCTGATGAAGGTGCGTTCCGAAATCGCGAGAAATTTGCGATTTCGTAAGTTCACCTCAGAACCAATCTGGCCTGAAAACGGCAAAATCTACCTGCGACATTGAGAAATTGAACACGTGACGCACATTATGTGACGGTGGAAATGTGCGTAACAACTGACAGTTTCATATCTGAAACTGTTAAAACAACTACTTCTAAGTGGGTAAAAATTACCAACTAAGCATGTGTTGTAATTTTCACCTGCCATTGCTGACTTGGCTAAGCGCAGCTTAGAGTAGTTATGTAAACGTTCTTGTGCGAACGTTCTCGCCGTGTTCAATGAGGTTCAATGGGGTAGTACTAGTGCTTGCCTTGTGTATCATACTTTGTAATCTTGATTCTAGTGAATTTGTGTGCCTAAGCTTTCTCAAAGGCTACTCTGTGAAACACACAATTCCGAAGGCAACTTTCTCCTGAGAGAATTTCAGAGCTAGAGAGCTCTATCTGCGTCAGGCACTTCCGTAGAAGCTCCCGTTATAGCAGTAAACTTTGCATGACGAAGGCCGTAAACAGGACAATGCAAGCTCCACTCTGTCCCAGGTGGGAAGGATCCAGAGAATCCTAGAGGGTGCCAGAGGTGCATCTGCTCGTGAAGACTAGCCTGCAGGAACACTTTAGAGAAGTTGAGTGAGTGAAGCTCATAGTTACGCTGCGCGGCTATGTGAAGGACCCGAAGTGTAGTCATCTTCGGGGTCGGGGAGAAGGTCTGGAAGAAGTCCACACCATCACGCTGACTGAAGCCTCTAGCCACGTAATGCGCTTTGAACTTAGGCGGCACTCCAGGTGCGTGCTTCACCCTGTAGATCCACATGCCATTTGTTGTGGTATATTTCATAATTAGCATTTCTGTAAGTCGTTTATCGATAGATAGTGTCGAATCCTTTTATAGAAGATAAGTCCGTAGGATGACGTCAGCAAATAGCGCTCGTCATAGGACAGTCGTTTCAGTCACCTCTTCATTATCATCTAGGGCGCATAGCGCGATAGTGACGAACATGTACATTAGCGAATAGGTACTTTCCTAGAGCTTTAAATCTTTGTTGTGTCCTTTTATTATTAACCTTGAGATTTCAACTTTGAGGCTTAACTTCTATAGAAACATATACTCAGGTTCATTCTTAGAAGACTTCCGCTGTCTTACTAGTCTACCGTTCCTGTAAAGATCGTAGGCTAACATTTGAGATTTTCCAAGTGTTCGTGTTTGCATATTCTATACTTAGTCTCCTGCAACACCTGTCAAATTATTACACCATTGACTACGTTCGCCCCAGGCGGGGGAACTGCGTCGACGTAAGTGCCTGTGGATCTGCAGGATGCCATCTCAGCCTCCACGGCCTGTATCCACAAGGCTGCGCAGAGCCCCGACACTGCCTTAGCATAAGAGCGTGGATTAGGGATTTCGAGAGCGTCTAGGTCGCCCTCTTGGGATACAAGTATGGAGCAGAGATGGGGAACAACGGCAGCAGGGTAGGCGAACTCGTACTACCTGTTCTCTAGCACGCCACTGCCAAGGACAAGTGCACCCCCGACGGACGGACGGAGGACAGGCAGTACTAGTGACCAGACCGGCACCGTAATCAAGGTGGTGGCTAGCAGCAAAGTCAGTGACTGCAGCGAGAAGCGCAGAGACAGACTCAAGAGGAGCAGTAGGGTCAGTGACAAGCGACGCAAGCAGGCGCGAATGGGTAGGACGAGCAGTGCGAGCAGCGTCGGAACAAGGAGGGGGGGATGACGGGAGCGACGACGGGGAAGGCAACGGGAAGACTGTGACAGGAGGAGCACGTGAACGAAGGACCATAGGGTGGACACTAGGACAGGGAGAGATAGGACGAGCACCAGAGGGGCGACTGACCCAATGAGGAAGAAGGGGGAAAGGAGACGAGGGGGAACGAGGGACAAGTCAGGGGACAGTGGGGAGTGCGGGGGAAAACGAGCCGTAGAGGAGTCCGGAGGAGGAAACAACGGGCCGTAAACAGGGTCATGCACCGGAGAGGGAACGGGCGGGCGGACAGGGGAACCTGGAGCATGACAAGGAAGACGAAGGGTAGACTGCGGCATCTCGTGCTGTAGTGGTTGCGGCTGCTGCTGCGGTTGCAACTGCTCCCTGTCCTCTCCAGGACCTCCAGCGGCACCACGGCTGCCATCGGCACACCGCAAAACAGCACCCCCAGGACTAGCACCCCCAGATTCAGCACCCCCAAAACTCGTTCCCCCAGAACTCGCAACTCCAGAACCAGCACTCCCAACACCAAC